CATCTCCAGTCCCACGTTGATTTTTTCACAGTACTTGCTTTTTTTTTAAGATTTTATTTATTTATTTTGACAAAGAGAGAGAGGGAGCGAGCACAAGCACGGGAAGCAGCAGGCAGAGGGAGAGGGAGAAGCAGGTTCCCCAAGGAGCAGGGAGCCCAATGTGCGGCTCGATCGCAGGACCCTGGGATCATGACCTGAGCTGGAGGTAGATGCTTAATGGACTGAGCCACCCAGGTGCCCCTCACGGCACTTGTTTTTAATCAAAGCTTCAGGAGAACTGGGTTTGAGGCTTATTCACCAACTTTGCAAAGATGTCACAGAAAGGAATATAGCATGATATAGTAGTTTGCATAGTGCCCAATACATGTCAAGCATCGCTGTTGCTCCTTTGAATATTTAAAATATCCCAGGGCAGACCTGTCGGGTGGCTGTGTTCCCTGACACAGTTTCAGAAGCTGTTGTTAGACAATTAGTGCTAGACACTGGACGTACACTGGTGAGAAAATCAGATATGGACCTTCTGTGACCCCCCTAGCACAGAATTCCCTGCCTACTCAACTCTGGAAGAGTTCTAGAAGAGATACAGAAATGTGGCTTCCAAACTCTTGTGAAGATTAAGGATGGTGACAAAGAAACAGTTTATAAGTAACACGATATTAGTCTAAACAGTTTGAAAGTCAATTTAAAATGCCTACTTAAGATCAAGGGTCCCAGATTTGAGGTCTAATTTGAATAAGCATGAAGATGTGACCTAAGGTAACCTTTTTGAGGAGTCCCAGGGAAGATCTGAGACCTAAATGACCCACTTGAGTGGTTTGTTAGTTGACACCTATTGTTTTTCCCAATAGTATCCTTAGCCTTTCCTTACAGAGAGAGAGGGGCCTGCCACTTTCGTACACAGGAGCAGGGACTGTGAAATGGGAAAGGTTGAATGCACTATGTCCTTAGAAATGAAAATAGTCTACTTGGACCAGCTAGAAATAGTAGAAGAAGGTAGCATGGGGGCGACTGGGTGGCTCAGTCGGTTAAGCATCTGCCTTTGGCTCAGGTCATGATTTCAGGGTCCTGGGATCAAGCCCCGCATTGGGCTCCCTGCTCAGTCGGGAGCTTGTTTCTCCCTCTCCGTCTGCCCCTCCCCCTGCTCATGCTCTCTCTCAAATAAATAAATAAAATCTTAAAAAAAAAGAAGGTAGCATGACTATGAGAACTAGGCAAACATCATGGGAACTTCCTTTATTGATACCCCCCCGTGTGTAGAGTGATTGACAAGAAAACCATAAAAGCATGTGAGCTGATTTTTCAGGCAATGCAGAAAAATTAGAAAAGCGAGGAGATACTTTCTCTTCCTCAGCCTCGAAGAATAAGAACCTAAAGAAATGTCATATGCGGCACCTATGAAGAATAGAAAAAGAGGGTGAATCTGGGGAGAAGAGGTTCAGAAGAGCCTCAGGAAGCTGTCAGGGATTAAGGACTGACCCTGGAGGCTTAGCTAACAAGAGACACTTGAGTTTTTCCAAAACAAGTATTTAAAAGGGGAATATTTAACTGAATTGCCCTGAACTTCTTAGTTTGAGAAACTGGAATGTGATTATGAAAAGATTCTTTCTTATGAGATTTTTCGTTTGTGTTTTTGGCAATGTTGCTTCTGTCGTGGCCAAAAGCCAGAAAAAAAAAAAGCTTCAAATGATTTGAAGACTTTAGATTCTCATAAAAAACTCAGGGTCAGTTTGAATCTGCAAGCTGTAAAGAATTGGCTCAGGTAACATTGTGGGTTTTAAATAAAATTAGGTCTGAGTCTTAGCCTACATCTGTCCACGAAAGTGCTCATAATGATAGCAAGGAAATTGTGGGCTATTTCTGAAGAGCTTTAAGGAAAGGGTAGGCAGACATCTGCTCATGATGCTTTAGGCATTCATCTACTTAGGAGAGTTTGGACCCTTTCCACTATTTTAAAAGCTATAAAGAACCAGAATGGACATTATGGAGATTCTTATATAACATCATGGTAGTTAAAAAAAAAAATAACCATGATATACAAGATATCACTACTTTAAAAGGGATAGTAAAGAAAACCAATGAGTTAAAGTATATTTCCATTAAACATTTTTTATACTGTTTCTAAAACAAACTCTGTCAATACCATTTTTTCAAAATTCAAGAACTACAGATTTGATTCTTCTAACCAATCGGCAGTTAAACCTATGTGGCACCTAGTGTTCTCAGTGGAAATAAGGAAATGAACTAGGCAAAATTTTCCACTGAACAATAACTCTGATTCCTAAAGATCATGTCTTCTAGTTGCATGCACTCTCCCCATTCGGGGGTTAAAAATATACATACTTTTCATTCATCTTGGTCTCTCTCAGCTCAGCTCATCTGTACTCTGGCCGCAGGTCACCTCTAATGCCAGTTTTCTCTATTCCTGCCCCAGTGCACCACTGGACTAAGTCCTAACACCCTTCTCCCCTTGTTCTTTGTCAGATCAAGCTTTTTGGCCTCAGCTGAACCCCCTCTTTTGCTTTTGCTGGCTTCCACTTGATTCCCCCAGTGGCTGTTGTAGGTCTTTGTGCTCACTTCTTCAAGTTCAACTCACCTCTTCATTTTCAGCAGGTGACAGAGAAAACTCTACAGGGAAGCTTGAACCTGTGTATCCTGAGCAGCCTCAACTTTTCTTCCAAATCTTTCTAGTTCCTCATCCTTCCTTTCTCAGTTTGCTTCTGTTTTCTGAGTGAAGCATATGGCCTTTTCCTTTACCAGGATTCCTTTTCTTGTCACCCACTGTCTCCTTTGGGACCTGGGGCATCAAGTATGCCCTCACCTCATATCATCAATCTCTCCTTTTAGATCAACTTATTTCTCAAGGTTTACTCATTGCAAACAGACCAACTACCCACCTACCTTTATGTGACTCCACAGATGATGAAATACCTCTGTTCATATTTAATAAGAATAGCTTATACCCATCGACTCCATTTTCTCATTGATACTCATTTTTACCCCCGTTATCTTGATTTTTTGTTCCTAGTACCCCATAAAAACCATTGCCCCAGCAGGCTTTTTTTTCAGTGTGTAACCTATTGGCAACATTTATCCTACTGAACACCTTTAGTAATTCTTATTTCTTCTGCTACTTCTCTCATGGTGCCTTTTGTGGTTTACCTGGCACTCTTGTTCTTTCCATCTGAATACAGACATTCACCAAAGTTCTGAGCTTTTTTCCTCTTATGATTCTACATGTTCTACCTAAGGAACTGCTTCCCAATCTTCAAATTTTATACATCTTATTTGTGTTCCTATGGTTCGTGCCTTGATCCCTTTCCCGAGATCAAATCCCCATTGCACAGTTGAATATACCACCTACAAGTCCAGCCTCCATGTCAAACTCCATAGTGTCTTTAAATCAAATTTCTCATTTCTCTCTCCCGATATGCCTAGTTTTGATGACGGTATCCACCATTCTTTCAGAAGCCTGAGTATTCATTTAAATTCAGCAAATTTCCATCATGTGCTTAATGTGTGTGAGTCAACAGTTCCAGGCATGGGGGGGAGAAAGGGGAGAACATGATACATGAGGTTCCTATCCTCATGGAGTTTACATTCGAGAGCGGGAAAACAGAAAACAAACAAGTAATCAAAGAATATAAATTTTGGTAGAGATTAGTTCAATGAAGAAAGTCAAAGTACTATAAAGGAAGCAAGACTGCTGTGAGAGTTGGGATTGGGCAGTGGGACAAGCACATCAGATAAAGTGATCAAGGAAACCTCTCTGAGGAAGTGGCCTTTGAGATGACTGGAATAAGGAAAATGCCAATCATGTAGATAGTGAGGAAAGAGCTACTCTAACAGACGATGGGCCAGTGCAAGAGCTCCAAATATGTACACACCTCTCTGTTTCCTTAATTCTCACTTCAATTCATCATTCTAAATTAAATTGCTTGGTAGGTCTTGCAAAGGGACCTTAATTTTTATCTCTCTTGCATCTATTTCCTTCTGGTTTAAGCCCCGATTCAGTCTTGCTCCCCATTGATTTCCTGTTCCAGAGCATCCCTCCTATCATGACAGAATTAATCTTCCTAAAGTGAAAGAAACTATAATATCATCCCCTTGCTCCAAAGCCTCTAGTGATCCCCCATCATTCACTGAACTAATATAAGCTTGGAAGACTAACATTCAAATCTGTTCAAGGCGTAACCTCAAAATATTTTTCAATTCTTTTCTTCCATACTGCTAGGCACAATCCTATACAAATTCATATGCAGAGCACACCTTAAACATTTCTGCATTGAAAGTTGCCCATCGTGTCCCCTTTACTTGGACTGACTGTCACTCCCTCATACTCACTGTGGATCAGTCATGGCTTTCCTGGTCCTCAAGCTCCATCTAAAACACTTTTTCCTTGACGACCCTTCAGATGTCTCTCCATTTTTAACCCACAAACAATTTTATCCCTTTCTTCGAGCATTTGTCATACTTTGTGCTAGAATGTGGTTATGTGCACATCTATCTTCTCTCTCTGCATCGCTTACTTTATCACAGATGTTTCCAGACAGTGACCACATGTTATTTTTCCTTGTACTAGCGCAGTGCCTCACACATAGTTGGCATGGAACAGTATTTGTTGAATGAATGAATGAATCTGTCAAATCTGAGTTTGATTAACTAATATTTATTTCACAAGACCCCAGTGGTTTCCCTTTTATCATTCCTCTTATTGGTTCTCAAGGGACTTAGATGTGAAAAGTCAGAAAGCAGAGAAGTACAGAACAGAGTCCCTATTTTGAAATAGTCTAGTTAGTTTCAATCTGGCCATCTGATTAAAAGTTTATATTGAGGAACATTAAAATATCTATTTTTTTACAGTTGCATCGTCACTATAGGGTGAGATGAATAACTCTTACTGAAACACTAACTGATTTCTTGTTCAGGATACATAAAACTGCTTAGCATTATTCAGTTCTTAAAAAAATACATTATCACAATCACAGAAGCTCAATACTTACCACATTACTGCATGTTCTATATCGGATATTTCTTCCCTCACAGCTCCTAGGTGATAAAAAGAAAAACAAACTCATTACTACCTGTGAAAGGCTCAAAACTGAAACTACTTGCTTATAAAAACAAGTTTCTCTTAATACTAATAAGAGTCTTTCTTTTCTTCTGAGTATCAATGTTCTCAGAGAAGTTCCTATCAAATACTAAACAGTGTTATCTTAAGAAGTCATGCATGGAAACGGATTTCTCTATGAGGGAGGAAACTAAGCATTCATTTTGCTTCCAAAAATTTTCAAAGTAAGTATTTACAGTTGGTGCTTATTTAGCCAAATAAATATTAATGCAAGGTTTTCTGTAAGTGAATCCTGTCTTCCTAATTATTTCTGGCATAAGACTGAAGAGATATTTCACTGAGAAAATGTAGATCTAGCATAAGGTAAAAATGGGACTTACTATTCAACATGTCTTAAAATTACACATCTAAGGGCATGAAAACTCAGTACTTAAAGAATTATTTTTACTTCTAAAATACATGCTCATTGTAGAGGTTTTGGGAAAGGAAGACTACAAAAACAAAATCTCCCAGAGTTGACTCATCTAAGGATAATCACTATTATTTTGATTTTATTGATTTCTTCTCGGTGTGGAGGAAATCACATCACCTATACTATTTTTTTTTTTAGCACAAATTTATTTACTAACCAAAGGGATAATCCTAATTAAATCAACACTTTGAAATAGATGCATGTAAAATGTTTGTGATAAAGATAATTGAACACAGTAATGAAAAAAAAAGCAGTATGGAGATCTGCTCGTTGAACTGAGCTTGTTCATCCTCACAGCTAATTCCTGTCCACAATGATGATGGAATTTTTACTCTACTTTTTCATAGACCCGAGTACAGGTGACATTATTCAGGATGCATTCCACCACTAATTTCCCATTTTCCAATTTTCTCGTGATTGTGCTTTCCTTCCCATCCCATTCCTGATGTTGAACCAACACGCCGTCTGTGAAGTTGCAGACAGTCTCGGTTTCTCTGCCATCAGCTGTAGTTTCTTCAAACTTCTCTCCCAGGTTACATGAAAACTGCGTTGTTTTCAAAGTGCTCTCAGTTTTTATGGTGAGGTTTTTGCCGTCAGAAGAGATGACACAATCTGGTTTGGCCATTGCACCCACTTTTCGCAGAGCCATTCCCACTCCTACTTCCTTCATGTATTCGTCAAAGCCTTTGCTTTCCACTAAGCGCCATCTTCCTACCAGCTGCTGAATGGTGGCCATGGTGGGCGCGGGCGGGCCTAGCGAGCAGAGCAGAGTGGGGCGTCGGGAGCGTGGCTTCCCTCACCTATACTATTTTGTAGTTTGTTTTTTTTTTTTCCACTTAAAAATTTTTGGAAGCATTTTCCCACATTGTTAAAAAACTTGGAAGACATAGCTTTGAGAGCTACATAATATTCCGTTAAATGAGATAACAATATTTGTAATCATTCTTCCACGACTTGTCATTTAAGTAATTTCCAATTAGCGGTTTGATAAATGATAGTGTGATAAACTATGTCCATGTGTATGTTTTGTTTAAGTTTCTGACTGGCTGTAGGATAGATAAATTTCTAGAAGGGAAATTACTGGACTAAAGGGAATGAACTTTTATAAGGCTTTTGATAAATATTGCCCAATCGCATTCCATAAAATTGTACCATTCTGTACTCCCATCAGCACTACATGGGAGTTTCCATTTTACTGAATTTCTGTGAACAAAAACAATTTTTGATTAAATATTCAATGATGACACTTAAAACAAGGACAGCAGTACTCTGCTCTTTGCAAAATGAGTCATACTTTTTACAAAACAAGTAAAAATATAATATAAAATGCTGAGAGAATGATTATACTAATAACTAATAGTTACGAAATCCCAGGTACATTTCTAAGTTTGTTATATGTATTAATTTATTTAATCTTTTCAAGAACCCTAGGAGATAGGGTACTATTATTATACCCATTTTACAGATGAGAAAACTGAAGCTCAGGGACATTAAGTAATTTGTCCAAATCCCACAAGTGTTAAGGAGTAGAGCTGAGATTTGAAGTAAGGCCATCCAGCTTCAGAGCTTATACTCATAATTACGATGATTTACCACCACCTAATTTACTTGTTTGTTCAGCAAATGTCCATTGAGCCCCTATTATGTGCTGGGCAATGCATTTACTTCTGGGAATACAAAGAAGAATGAATATGATTTTGTCTTTGGTATTAAGAAAATGTCGTTATAATGCAGTGTAGGAAAAGCTAGATAGTATTTGTATTAGGTCTTGAGGATGTTATCAAAAAGAGAATAGCATCTGAAAATATAATTACACAAAAGCTGTCTTAAAAATGGAAAGGTACCAGGCCAGAAGACCTGACTGTGACCAGTTTGACGACATTAACATGCATTAACAATAGAATGTGGGAAAGGAAATGAGGGGCTGGCCAGGCGTTACAATCACAGAAAAGAAGAGAATGACGGATATATATGGTTGTCAGTGGCCAGCCCAGCAATGTCCCAGGCAAAAGGCCAATGAACTTCATATCCTCTAGGTCCCATTGGCAAGGCTGTTGCTATCATGATATAGATGCCTCATGCTAATTTAGTGGATGCCAACGAATGTTCTGTTCATCCCAGGAATACCCCTCGTTACTATGCCATGTTGACCAAACAACTTGCCAAGAGTGATCTGGTTTCTCAGGACTGCTGAGAGGCAGACTGCTTGTCATGCTGATGTGGGTATTTTGGTCCACACGGTAGTCCTATTTTTCACTGTAAGTTAATAAATAAACTAGCATTCTAGTTTGAAACATTAATCTCATGGACCAAGTCATTGTGAGTCTACTCCAAGAAAAGGATCTGTTCTTTGTATGATTGCTGAAAAATACCAGATTTCTGAGTCTAAAAAGATGATGACTAGGCTCCAGTTGATGGTAAATTTGCAAGGTAATGAATTCTACAACCCAGAGGGCCTCAGGTGGCATGCCATTTAGACATTGGTCTTGGCTGAATGTGATAAGTTTTTCAGTTTTAAAATTCTGAGTACATAGGTGACATGGTGTAATGGTTCAGAGCACCCACTTTGAAACCAAAATCCTCTTCCTGGAATCTTGGCCTCTTCTGCAGTTTTAATATCTCAGTTTTATCATCTGTAAAATGGGATAATATTCCTTATCTCCTGGGATTATCATGAAGATTAACTGAGTTAATATTTGTGAAACACTTCCAAAAGTACCTAGCACACAGTAAGCATTAGGTAGACATTTGATAAATTAATTGCAGAAGAGCTATAAAAAGATAATAGATATTGAAAGAGGGTTAAGAATATGTAGAGAATAAACCACAGGCAAAGGCACAGAGGTATAAAAAGATATGGCTTGGTTTTGCTGGAGTTTGGGATTTATATGGGGAACTGTAGATGAGAGAAATACCTTCTAATTTTGAACTTGGCAATAGACAAAGGGGAACCACCAAATGTTTTAAAATCGAAGAGAGATAATGACTTCTTGCTTTAAAAAAGTGAATTCTGGTGTTAATCATTGAGATCTTAAGGCTCTATGCTTTTCACCTCCTTTTATTTTCCTTTCCTAGCCTTATCCCCCTGAAAGGAATAACGAAAACAATTCTAAATTAGGTGTTTGAAGATGTAGTTCATAGACTTTGCTCTTCTCTTGCATAAGCCTCTTGCCCTCTCGGGGTCTTACCCTTCTCATCAGTCCAATGTATGTCGGGACGCTGGGACACCAAGCTGTGATCACTAACTGAGATAATTTACAAAAGCTCTGTTCAAATGCCAAGGGGTTGTTATCAAGATATCATTTACTAAAAATGAAACCAAAACAAGCAGAAAGAAACCTGCCTCATTAACTTAAATGAGCCTGTCCCCATGTATTTCCAACCACAAACACACGTTTTAAAAGCATCCTTGAAAAATAGGAGATTAAGGCGCATAATATAAAAGACTGATTTCTATTTCTTACTTAGCAAAAAAACCCAAACAAACACAAAACAAGGAGAAACACTTGCTGTAATTTCCAAAGAATATCCGATAATTGTCTAACACCTCATATTGATTTACAAATAATTTAATTTTTCCCCTGAATTAAGCCTTCCCTTTACTAGATAGTATTACTTTGTTTAGTGAGAGCTTATTTCATTTAATTGACTGAAATATGATATTAAAATGGTAATGCTGGATTTTGGAAAGGTCCTCGTTACTGAAAGACATTATAAAATTGTGGATAACCATAGTAATTCTAACCTCTATTGAGTGCCTTCTATAGGTATCCAGCCCAAGGTTACATATTCTGTGTACATTATCAATAAGCTTCTGAGAGTTTTGCAAGGTTTTATTATTCCCATTTCATAGATGAGAGAATTGAGAAAAGACAGAACCAGGGACTGGACCTCGGATTTATCTAACTCCGGAGCATGTAAAACAATAAAAAAAGGAACAAGATGTGCGTAAGGTGTGTAAAATATTGGGGCACCTGGGTGGCTCAGTCGTTAAGCATCTGCCTTCAGCTCAGGTCATGATCCAGGGTCCTGGGATCGAGCCCCGCATCGGACTCCCTGCTCCGCGGGAAGCCTGCTTCTCCCTCTCCCACTCCCCCTGCTCATGTTCCCTCTCTCTCTCTCTCTCTGACAAACAACTAGGAAAATGATCAAAAAAAAAAAAAGATGTGTAAAATATTAATACTAGATGAAATCTGGGAAACCAAGCAGAGTTGGCCTGGGGTTTAACCACACCTTATTGTTACCGTATCAGTTTATCAGCTGCTCGTCAGTTCTGGTAAATTCACTTTTAGTAAGTAAAAGATACCTAGACACACATTGTACATCGGGAACATCTCCAAGAGCACCACACTCCTCTATAAAACGTAACATGAAAGAACTTCAGTGCAGAGAAGCTTTTACTTTTTGAAAAGTTCAAATTTATTAAGCCTGAATATAAATTTTATTTAAGTTAATGAAGTGACTATTCCACCGCAAGGATTTAATTCGTGCCAAGTGTGAATTTCT